TTGTCACAAGGCGGTGTCAAATTCGGGATATTTCATTTCTGCAGTCGCCATCGAAAACGTCACTCGATGTATGTGTAAAGTAGTAACTCGGCAGGAGACGACTTCACGGGTAGCACACTCTTTATTTTCACCAACTTATAGTTACACGGATGCCTAACACCCACTTCGTTGCACGGGTGACTAACACCTCCCTCAGCTACTCGGGTGACTAACACCCACTCAGCTACTCGGGTGACTAACACCCACTCAGCTACCAGGGTGACTAACACCCACTTAGCTACTCGGGTGACTAACACCCACTCAGCTACACGGGTGACTAACACCCACTCAGCTACACGGGTGACCAACACCCCCCTTAGCTACTCGGGTGACTAACACCCACTCAGCTATACTGACACGGGCTCTTACGCCCCGTAGCCTTCCGGGACACACCCAGCCGGGGTGCCCGTCTCGGCTCTGGGTACCACCGTCCCGACCCACACGGGCGTCGGACTACGGGTCCCCCAGTCTCGGCTCCGAGCCACACAGGGCCCCGGTCCTCACAAGGACGGCGGGACTAGGGGTCTCGGGCCACTACCTCCTCCACCCCGTCTTCGGTCTTCAACTGGTTAACACTGACCACGAGTGCTCTCGCGCGTCTCCCTTTATACCCCTCCTGCGGACGTCGCTGAGAGCACCCATCTTATCTGACCAATCACTGCGCACTCGCTACGATCCTCTTTTCCCAGCTTGTGTCAGCGCGCCTTACCACCCGCGCGCGCGTCCATACCACGCCCACATCGCGTGCCCAACCCCACGCCCCGTGATCCATCACTGTCGGCGCACGTCAATACCACCACTACATATGTATAGACTCCATGCATTCATCAAAATGTCAAGTGATAATTACCATGCATTCATTTAACGGTTGATTCTATTGGTATCTTCGCATGTATGTTAAAAATTCGTTCGCACCGTGCGTAGGCCAACCATTCTCATCGGAGGTGTGAGTCTACGGTCCAAAAAAACCCTCTCAACATTTCAAGACCCTCAGTTGCACGTGAACGCGAGACGGTGGTGGTTTTCCATGATTCATAACGTTGACGAAGAGCTGCCGCATGCGGCTCCACATCCCCAACGACCTGGTCCACGGTGATCAGCGTCAGTCGGTATCTGGTGGGCCACATAAGCCGACGTGCGCCCGATATGAGTAGCGGGGATTGCGTTCCTGAAAGGTGCCGCGACGAAAATGGAAACGACGTGAAACGAAGCGACGTTAGAGGGTCGTCGGCAGGCGGAGGCTGAGAGGCGACGGATGATGATGACGACGACGTGAGTTGTGGGGGTTGAGGCGACGCAAATGAGGTAGGAGCGGCGTTGATAACGTGACGACGTACTTGCGAAACGACGTAACAGGTAGAGACAAGGTTTCACTGTATCTGGCTCTGTATGTAAGTCTATGTAAGTGTATGGGTCTCTGTGTGGACATGGGTCTTTATGTACCTAGTTCTTTACGCGAGTCTATGAGTTTTGTGTATGTGGTATCTGTGTTATGTTAGGGATCTCTGAGCCTATGGGTCTCTGTGATTTCCTCGGTCTCTGTGTTATTCCCTACGACTGTGTGTGAGTCAGTGGGCCCCTGTGTGAGTCTGCGGGTCTCTATCGGAGTCCATGAGTCTTTGTGTGAATCTCTCAGTCTCTATGCTAGTCACTGTGTCTCTATGTGAGTATGTGGGTCTCTATGGGAGTCTATGGGTCTCTGTGTGTCTGTGGGTCTCTGTGTGAATCTCTCGGTCTCTATGGGGGTCTGTGGGTCTCTATGGGAGTCTATGGGTCTCTATGGAAGTCAATTGGTCTCTATGGGGGTCTATGAGTCTCTGTGTGAATCTCTCGGTCCCTTTGCTAGTCACTGTGTCTCTATGGGAGTCTATGAGTCTCTATGGGAGTGGGAGTAATTATTGTTGTGTTGTTGCATTCACTTGTGACTAAATATCGTGGAGTGTACACGAATGCGCATGATTATGAGCTTCCGTACATTTTAACCCGGTGATAATAAATACCAATAGTTCGATCAAAAAAAACTGTGCGGAGATGGTTGGAGAGCTTGATGATCGAGGATATTTTGGGCTGAGCAGTGGTTGAGTCATGCAGACGAAGAAGGGGCAGGATGGTCTGCCCGTTCTTCATCTGCTGATTAAGCTGCGGCCACGGAAAGGGGCTCCGCGGTGGCTATGAGATGTTAACTACCTCGCCTGGTATACAGGAGGTCGTGGGTTCGACCCCGACCTTGACGCCTGCTGCTGTATATTTGAAGTTTGCGTGTCTCTCTCCCCGTGGTCTCGTGGATTTGTCCCCGGCGCTCCGGATGATGCAACTGATTGTGGTGACGCTGCTTGTGATCACGACAATGATGTTTGACTGCATCAACCCCTCCCTCTGGTCTCCGCACCTGATTGGCTCACAGTGACGACATCACAAATGACCCCCACCTCTATTTAAGACCTAAACAGGAGGACGATTTCTCCACAATTCTGGCTGTTGCCTGATGATGCTGGTTGTTGTTGTAATCACCAACACACAACCGGTTAGTGACAAACCTTACTAATTGGCTGTGTCAGGGTGGTGGCGGGTTTAACGACAAGTTTATATTTACGCAAGCAAACCCCCCCAAAAAACTCCTCTCTATTATCGGTGATTTTCATGTTCGACACATGAACCAAAAGCCCCGAGTTCAAACCCGTGGGCGCGGGAGCACTCGGCACATCATCTCTCTAGGGTTGTATAAAGCGAGTAGTGTACCAACCTGTGGACTCTCAACAGTCGATGTCTTTATTGAGTCCATTCGCCATCCCTTCTCCCCGCCACAGTCAACGTGGAACTTTCCACCACCGATGTTTTGGTTACGAAACGAAAATAATATCCGCCTATTCGCGACTTTTGAGATTCCCATTTTGGCGAAAAATGTCTTTCGTGAGCCGCCGGTCTTCCGTGCGAGAGAGGCAGATGGAGGGATGGTGGCGGTGGCTTATTTTGACTTATTAAAGACCAAATAAGCCAGGAATGACAAAGAATCGATGTCAAGGCGTTCTAAACGCTATTATTGTACTTTATTATACACGATTGGTAGTTGATTAAATATGATTAAATATGATTAAATATTAGACTCTTTGTTTTTTTCGGTAAAGTTACGTAGGTAAAAAATAATAAAAGAAAATAAATAAAAACAACTAAAATAAATAACGACGTTTCGGGCGCAACACAAGCGTCCTTCTTCAGGTGGGGACAACTTAGCGAAAGATCAACCGCTTAATCTTGAATTAAATATGCTGTTGTATTCATATATGTAAAACGTTGCACATTTCGATTATTTTGGTGCTATGAATGTCAAAATGATGGGGCCACTTTGTTGAGCTTTCATTTGTGACCAGGTCGCTTCTGAAAAATAAGTAAATTTTTCAGTGGGCTTTGCCGGATGGGGAAGTCTTTGTATTTACCATTCTTGTATTCTGCACTCCTATCGTCTCTGTAACCGTTGTTGTAATAACGTTCTTACCCGCCCCTTAGTGGACATCTGTGAACAAAATTGCTTCATAGCTCATCGGATTCCTCCAGTATAAATCAACAAAATCCCCCATTATATCAGTGTTTCTCTGGGGGAAATCGGTCTCAACTTGCATCGTTTAGACTTACGGCACCTTTCCATATGTACGTAGCATGATGTAGGGAGGACCGCCTGTGTTTGTTTGAATACAGAGACAGTTGAACTTGAAGGTTTAGATTTGAAGTTTAATTTTTGAAGTCACAGCAACCTCTGAGACACACTTAAGCGGCTGTGCTTTTGCTACATTGTCCCCACCTGAAGAAGGACGCTTGTGTTGCGCCCGAAACGTCGTGATTTAATTTTTTTTTAAATTACCTACGTGACTTTACCGAGAAAACCAAAGAGTTGAACTTGAAGGTTCGGGTCTGAATCGTCTAAAGTCTTCGTCTTACAAGTCTTTCAAGCCTCCGTGGTTTTTTTTTTGCTGTCGTAATGAAGCTCCGTGTTGCCTCCATCAGGGTGAAGGCGGTGAGCCATGCACAATCATTGTTTGTTTGCATGTATGTCAACCCATACTCTGCACAGTATTATGTATCTTATGAATGTGTTTTTTATTAATAGGGGTTTTCCCCCTTTTTTCTGGCAACCAAACTGAAACCTTTTTACGAGGATTCATGTCTGCATTAACCACAATACTTGCAGTCAAAATGCAAACAAGAAACACGCTATGATAATATATAATAGAAAACCTATGATAACCTATGATAATAGGTTTTTCCCCTTTTTTCTGGCAACAAAACAGGTGTTAAGATGTTAAAACACCAAACTGATGATTGCTTGTCTTTGTGCTGTACGACTTTTGGCGTCCTCTGGTCTAATACCATTTGAGACGAGGCTCCAAAGAAAGCTATCTCTGGTGTTGACCAATCAGTTTCAAGGACAATGCATTTATTATCAGTGTGTTTTTTGTTTGCATTTTGACCACAAGTATTGTGGTTAATGCAGACATGAATCCTTGTAGAAAGGTTTCAGTTTTGTTGCCGAAAAAAAGGGGAAAAACCCTATTATTATATTTTGGTACTGGCAAAGGAGGTCTAATAATGTGTTTTTTATGTCATGCTACTCTTACGAATTGTTATCAGCAGACACCAGTATGTGTGTGGGTGTGTGTCAGTTGGGAGCGGTAGTCTAGCGGTTTACGCGCTGCGCTACAAACCCGGCGACCCAAGTTCGATTCCCGCTCACGGCCACCATTTGAACCGGCCCTGGGCCTCCCCCGAGGTCGACTCAGCCTCAAATGAGTATCCGGTGTGATGTGTAAAAAAAAAACGCCACTGGGGAGACAAAGGCGGCCGGGCGTGGCGCTGGCCCACCCACTCCCTCGTGTGCCTTTTCGGAACCACAACGTGGTGCCCTTTTTCTCGTCTTATCAGTCGCGAATCTCCACGTCTCCCTCCACAGGTCCTCGCGTTCAAAGGCCATGCCGAACACCACCATCACCGCGCGGCAATGCATCGACTTCCACGGCTACAACTGCACGGGCCCGAGCCTCCCGGAGCACAGCCGACCCGTCGTCCTCGTCCTCATCAGCATCTTCATCACCGCCACCATCCTCAGCAACCTGCTCATCATCAGCTCGGTCGCCTTCTTCCGCCAGCTGCAGACGCACACCAACATCCTGGCGCTCTCGCTCGCCGTCTCCGACTTCGGCATCGGCGCCCTGGTGATGCCCCTGCGCATGGTGGGCACCGTCTACAACTGCTGGTACTACGACTACAGCTTCTGCAACGTCTTCTACTTCGTCGACTACACCCTCTGCAACTCGTCCATCTTCCACCTGAGCTGCATCGCCTACGACCGCTACGTGGCCATCTGCGACCCGCTGCGTTACGCGCAGCGCGTCACCGACCGCACCCTCGTGGCGATGCTGCTCATCTCGTGGCTGGGCGCGGCGCTCTTCACCTCGCCGAGCCTGCTGAGCTTCAGCCCCCAGCTCGCGCCCAGCAGCATCGAGAGGGAGGGCTGCCCGGACGACTGCCTCTTCAACGTCGACGTCGCCCTGCACTTCTTCTACGGCGCCAGCCCCTACTTCATCACCATGCTCGTCATCATGGCCGTGTACGCGCGCATCTACCACGTGGCGCGCAGGCAGGCGCGGCAGATCGCAGCAAGCAGCAGCAGCAAGGTTCAGCAGAGTGGTGGTGGTGATGGCAACGAGCAGCAGAGGGTGAGCAACATGCGACGCGAGCACAACGCCACGGTGACTCTGGGCAGCATCATCGCCGTCTTCTTTCTCTCGTGGCTGCCGTTCTTCATCATCGTGCTCGTCTTCCCCTTCGTCGGCAACTTTGACGTCGAGTACGAGGTGGCCACCTGGATGGGCTACATCAGCTCGGCCGTCAACCCGCTCCTCTACGCCTCCTTCAACCGCCAGTTCCGCGGCGCCTTCCGCAAGATCCTGAGCCTCACCATGTTCCGGGCCGGTGCCAGGAACGCAAAGTTGTCCGAGTGAAATGAACGGGAGATTCAAGCCCTCTTCCCCCAGCCCCCCCCACCAGCCCCCCACCAGCCCCCCCCCCCCCCAGCCATCCCCCCCCCCAGCCATCCCCCCCGCCATCCCCCCCCAGCCACCCCCCCCCCCAGCCATCCCCCCCCCCAGCCATCCCCCCCCCCAGCCATCCCCCCCCCACCACCCCCCCCACCATCCCTCCCCCCACCATCCCTCCCCCCACCACCCCCACACACCACCCCCCCCACCATCCCTCCCCCCACCATCCCCACCCCACCATCCCGCCCCCCGCCCCCTCCCCCAGGCACCCCACCACCTCTTCCGCCCCACCCCACCTCCCCCACCTCCCACCTCCCCACCACCATCCCCTCCCCCAACCCCCACACCTCCCCCCACCCTCAACCTCCCCCCAACACCTCCCGCCATCCCCATCTCCCCCCCCGCCTCGACGATTCGCAGGCCCACAAATGAACCACAAGACCCTCGCTGCTGATCTCGCCAAGGAGCACAAACCACGCCAACTCCGCTCATCATCCTCACAGCAGCAGGTTTCGGCTCAGCCGTCGAACAACAGGCGGTGGTCACCGCATCGCGCGGCACTTTCAGATGCTATATACACTACATTATACACTGCACTGTACACTACACTATACACTACACAGCTATACACTACACAACTATATACTATACACTACACACTATACACTACACTACTATACACTACATAACTATACACTGCATTATGCACTACACTATACACTACACAACTATATACACTGCACTATACACTACACAATACACTATACACTACACACTATACACTACACTATACACTACACTATAAACTACACACTACACACTATACTATACACTTCACTATACACTACACTATCCACTACACAACTATACACTACACTATACACTACACGGTGGTGGCCGCATCGAGCGGCGCTTTCAGATGCGCTTCTGCGGCCGTCTGGAACGCTCTTCCCTCCGATATTGGGAAGCCACTGGAGCTGCCCACGTGTCCGTCGTCGTCGAGGTTGACAAACTCACGGTCGCTGGAGCTGCTTTGCTGCGCTTACCCCCCGACACCTCCGATTAGCGCGGTTGGCCACGTGGGGTGGGTGCGAACGACGTTCACCGTCAACGTGCGCACATTACACTACACTATACACTACACTATACACTTCTACACTACACTACTATACACTACACTATACACAACACTACACACTACACTATACACTACATGACTATACACTACACTACACTATACACTACGCTATACACTACACATTACACTACGCTATACACTACGCTCTACACTATACACTACAGATTACACTACACTATACACTACACTATACACTCCACATTACACTACACTATACACTACACATTACACTACACTATACACTACAAATTACACTACACTATACACTACAGTATACACTACACTATACATGTACGTCACATTTGGCATATTGTCCGGATTATTAGACGCTTGTACGGAAAGTAAAACGATGTTTACACACCGCACCAGGTACTCATTTGAGGCTGAGTCGACCTAGAGTAGGCCCAGTACCGGTTCAGATAATCGTCACTCGTGCCCGGTGTGAACGGAGTTATGCAAGTCTCGTCTCGCATGCAACAGACAAATGTCCCCCGTATAGCCTTCAACGGGCTGTCGGGGCAAGTGCTGTCAGCGAGTAGCTGCAGCACGCAATAAGGCTGGCACGGCACACGAGGGGGTGGGTGGTCAGCACCACCACACCCGACCGCCTTTGTCTCCCCAGTGCTGATGTCGTTTACAAACCCTCACTAAGTACTCATTTGAGGCTGAGTCGGCCTAGGGGAGGCCCAGGACCGGTTCAGGTGTTGGGCATGGGCAGGAATGGAACTCGGGTCGCCGGGTTCGTAGTGCAGCGTAGCGCTAACCACTGCGCCACCGATCGCCACGTACACACACACGTACACACACACACGTACACACACGTACACACACACGCATACACACGTACACACACGCGCACACGCGTAAACACACGTACACACACGCACACACACACGCTTACACATGTACATACACGTACACACACGTACGCACACATACACACACATACGCACACGCGCGTACACACGCGCACGCATACACACGCGCGTACACACGCACACACTCGCGCACACCTCCAGGATAATTAGCTGCACCCCCCTCCCCCAGCTGTTACTTCTGCAAGGCAGTGTGTGTGTGAGTGTGTGTGTGAGTGTGTGTGTGAGTGTCTGTGCGGTGTCAGTGCGGTGTCAGTGCGCCTCGCACTGCCAAGAATACGGCCCGGAGCCACCGAAGCCGGAGCGCCACCGCCCACACCCGATGTGGTGCGCCGGGTGCGTCAATATCGCTGTTGCTGGCCGCCTCGGGTGGGCATTGAACCGCGGGATCGTCGGTGGGCGTGGAGAGGCACAATTAGCGTGCAGTTAGCAATTAGCGACGACGACGATGATGGGAGGGGGGGTGATGGGGAGCCGGGTGGGTCAGAGGTCAGAGACGCGGAGCTGGCGCCGTTGAAACCCTTGGGGAGCTGTTCGGGATTCGGTCCCAACCACAGAGATTGAGACCTGCAGGGTCTCGTAGACACACGCAGGGACCCACCGACTCAGTGCCGGATTAAGCTCGTTGCGGGGCCTGTAGCATATGTTATAAAGGGGCCTTAAATAAAAAAAAAACATTAAAACACATTTTTTACTTGCATAGTAAAGTTATTGTATTTTTCTTCATTTGCTATACATTTGCTATATATACGACGAATCGATAACCTTAAACACTCAGTCGTTCGTAAGAGTTGAAGGCAGTATAGTACTATAGCAAGTGCAGAATCACTGCACCGGAATTGATTGCTTGAAAGCATTTAGCGCGGGGCCCTTGAAAGTGCGGGGCCCGTAGCATATGCAGCTACTTTTGCTACTCGGATCATCCGACACTGCATAGACTCACGTAGAGATCTCAACTCGCATAGATCCATTGACTCGCATAGAGACCCATAGACTTACATAGAGACCCATAGATTCGCAGAGACCCGTAGACTTACAGGTGATGTTGCAACTGATTACGGTGACGGTGATTTTGATGTTCGACTCAGTTCATAGGCCGAGTTCAAAATCGCGGTTGCGAGAGCACTCGGCACATCATCCCTCAGGGGTTGTATAAAGTGAGCAGGGTACCAACTTGTGGACTCTCGACAATCGATGCCTTTATTGAGTACATTCACCCCCCCTCCTTTCTCCCCGCCATAGTAACGTGGAATTTCCACCACCGATGTTTGATACAAAATGAAAATAAAAACCCTTTGGCGAAATATATTTCTTGAACCGCCGCTCTGCCGTTCGAGAGAGGCGGGAACTTCCTCTGGGGAGATGGAGCGATGGAATCGTCCCGTGATGTTTGGGGCAGCAGGTGCCTGGGTGGATCATCTCATCATTAAGGCGCCACGGTGGCTAGGAGATGTTAACTACCTCGCCTGGTATGGAGGAGGTCGTGGGTTCGATCCCGACCCTTAAACCCGCTGTATATTTGGTCACATGGATGTGTTTTCTCCGGGTCCTCCGGTTTTCCCTCCACACTTGGAATCAACAAATTATTTCGCTGCTATAAAGTCCCACGTGGTAAGCCATTTGATTGGGCTATCATTTGTGCTAACCAGGTCGCTTAAAAACACGTTTTTTCGGAGTGGGCAGGTAGGAACTTGGTTGGACAGCGTATTCGTGCACGACAGACGAACAAATAATCCCTGGTGGGCAGTGTGGAACCTGTTGTTCCTACCTGTATAAGTGTAGTGTGTCGTGTCGTGTATAGTGTAGTGAGTAGGTTAAACGTTGAGTTTTATAAGGGCACCACGGGGTGACCAGCCCCTCCCCATTCAGCCACACCCCACCCAGCCCCTCCCCACCCAGCCCCTCCCCACCCATCCCCTCCCCACCCAGCCCCTCCCCACCCTCCCCACCCAGCCCCACCCAGCCCCTCCCCACCCATCCCCTCCCCACCCAGCCCCTCCCCACCCTCCCCTCCCCACCCAGCTCCTCCCCACCCTCCCCTCCCCACCCAGCCCCTCCCTCCCCACCCAGCCCCTCCCCACCCTCCCCACCCAGCCCCTCCCTCCCCACCCAGCCCCTCCCCCACCCTCCCCTCCCCACCCAGCCCCTCCCTCCCCACCCTTCCCTCCCCCCCGCCCCTCCCTCCCTACCCAGCTCTTCCCCACCCTCCCCTCACCACCTAGCCCCTCCCTCCCTCCCACCCCCCACCGTCCCCTCCCCATATGCACGACAGACAAATAATCCCTGGTGGGCAGTGTGGCGCCTGTTGTTCCTACCTGTAAAAAAACTAAATAGTTCAGTGGACCTTACCTGGTAAAATAAAAATCCTTTCTAATCACAAGATCGTGAGAGGTGGTGTTGGTGGCTCGAGGACTAGGCTCTCATCCAGCAGCGGATCGACCAACAGCTGATAATCTCGTGCTTTGCTTCACGCCCCCGACGGATATAAAACAACGGTTTGATCAAACGAGGGGGTGAAGGCGCAGCCCTAAAAGTGCTCGCTAACGCCACTGCCGGCGGAAGTCGCCTCCTCTGTACAAAGCACCGAGCTCGGCAATGCATCCCAGTAGAGCAGTGGCTCTGAACATTGACTGCAGACTTGCATCTCTTCGTTTCTCAATCCTAAACAAAATGTCTAATATTTATAACGACGTCGGGTTTGATGAAACAAAGTAAGTTGATACTGACGTTTGTGTTTTAGATGATGTGTTCAAAACAAAAAAAATCTGTCCATTCCTCGCGCCTCCAGAAAGGGCGTCACACACCCCTCAGGTACAGGTTTCGTGCACCCCAGGTGAAGAAGAAACCACCGCAGTTGAGGATCGCACACAAACACCACGGGTCTCAGCAAAAAAAAAAAAGTGTCACGTTGACAAAAAACAAATAGTTCACTGCTTTAGCCCACCGGTGTG